GCTTTACTTCACCTCATCGTCCTAATTGAGCAGTTCTTGATGAGAAGCTGAACCAAAATGGACCCGACTTTATACCAATATATTAAAAAAAAGTGCAATTACTGGGTGGACTGTGACTCTAGTTCACTGATCATGGCTGAGGATCAATAGTCAGCTCCCTGTTAAGAAATCAAGCCGTCCTTCTTTTAATCAGAATATTTCTCAGCATCTCAGTATTGACTTTCCCTGCAGAACCGGCTCAGTCATTTTCTCGCTGGAAATGTACTTCCTCCTGCTCTAATGACTTGATAACAGCACATGCTGTGTTTATCAATAGTAATGCAGAGAACTTGATGGTTGTCACTAAAATGTTACCGACATCACATCAAAAGGGAATGCTGGGAGGATGATATTATCAATAACAAGTTCTAATTTCCTTCACACAAACACAAAAGACAACATGGCAACATTTTGATTTTGATGATCCCTTGTTGACTAGAAGTAATTTAGCTATTTTTTCCCATTGGGAGATGATCAAATTAAAGTATTTAAGTGTTAAGCAGACAGTTTAATACAACTGGGAGATGACATACAGTGTACTATGTTTTGCACAGCACGTCAAAATAACATTTTACCCCAATGTCATGGAGGCGCTGTATTACGAAAATTGGTTTGATGTCAGAACCCAAGACAGGCTGACATCAATGTCCAACGTCCAACCTCAAATCAACCAAATATCAACATCTAATGAAGTTACAGCTTGGCGTTGTGTTGATATTACCACTCTTACATCTATCAGATGTTGGATTTTAGTTGCCATACCTGATTAATAAATGCAGGGTTTAACGTTAAGGATTTTTCTACTGGTCCAATAGGGCCAATGGTTCAGATTTTTACTTGCCCTGCCAAAATTTTCACAGGGCCCACCAAAAAAAAAAAAAAAAAATCTGATTATAGCTATTTTTGCCACATATTTAAAATAATATGTCAAAAATAATGTATATAATTGTTTAAATGTTAATAATTATTTAAATAATGTATTTAAATAATTTTTTTTATTATAAATGAGCAAAATTCTGTGTTAACAAAACAAAAAGAGCAGTATGAAAAATGTGAAGGTATTTTTATTGCAGTTCGAAATTATTTAACAAAGGTCCCATAATGCTATTCAAAAGCTTAAATAAACAGGGAAAATGTAAAAATAAAAAACATGAATCTCAAAATATTTTGAGATACTAATATTTTTTACATTGTAAAAGTAACTTTAGAAGTACAGTACATGCCAATGTTATTGTGCAAACCATAACCCTACTCTAGCAGTCTAATGTGCTAATATTTCTATGAGAGTTTACTGACTAATGTAGTTACAAAGTCGCTAAATTCAAATCAAAATAATACTAAAGGGGGGGGGGGGTTCCAATATCATAACCATAAATATAATGTTGTCTCGTTACATGTTTGCGTAATTGTGGGTCACAGAAAATCAGAAATGTTCTCCATGTATCAAAATAAATTTGAGTTTTACCATTTTTGGATCAATTCAGCCAATCTTTCAGCACTTTTAGCTTAGCATAGATCACTAAATCGGATTAGACCATTAGCATCTCAAAAAAGCTTTCCGGAGTTTCTTAATTTTTTTTTTTAGAAGGTAAGCATTTTTAGGGTCATACAGTGTCAAGATGAGTTGCCAACATTCATTCATTTTCCTTCGGCTCAGTCCCTTATTTATCAGGGGTCACCACATCGGAATGAACCGCTGAGTTTCCAATATCATAACATTATGATTTTGTCTCGTTACATTTTTGCTAGCATTGTGGGTCACAGAAATTCAGAAATGTTCTTCATGTATCAAAATAAATGTGAGTTTTACCATTTTTGAATCCCTTCATCCAATCTTTTAGCACTTTTAGCTTAGCATAGCATAAATCATTGCATCAGATTAGACCATTAGCATATCCTAAAAAAAGTGGAGTTTCTTATATTGCTTATTTTTTACATTTAGAACTAAAGTATTTTTAGAGTCACTCATTGTGTCGAGACGTCTTACAGCATTTCAGGATGTTTTCAGACTCAAGTCTTTCCGAGGACATTTCGTTTTCTTCTCCATTTCCGCCGCTGACACAGCCCTGCAGCCGCATGTATAACAGGATTAAAACAATCTTCCACTGAGGCTGATAATCTTATGCACAGGAGGGGAAACGCCTCACAGTTCCTCTTTTCATTTATTTATCGCATCCATTCGTCTATTTCATGCACGTTTGCCTCGAGGTGCGCATTTCTGCACATTCAGAGACGCTAACCTCAACCGCTTCACCTTCACCGACAGAGCCAGACAGTCATTAATCAAAATGAAATGAAGATTTGAGACGACGCTGCAGTCTGAGAGAAACACACTTTGAGGAGAATACACTTCTGCATCCCCGAGATGTGTTGATAAACGACTGTGTCTCTGGTTTCAATCAGTCTGCTCAATGATTCATGTTTTTTTGTTGAGGTGTATCGCTAATATTTTTGAGAAGGTAACGCCGCTGAGAATAAGCATTTTGGTGGAAAAAGAAAAGAGTTTGATTTGATTATGCAAATGTGTTGAGCTCTGGGCAAATAGCTGGAACTGGTTATTGATTAGGGCAGTGATGTCAGAATCTGCAGCATCATTTTAATCGCTGTTCGAGATATTGATCGACAGCCACACTTGAATTCGTGATCTCAGTTTTGAGGCCACGAGTTTAAAGTTGCTGCCATTTACA